GGGGGGAGTAGTGCATGCATTACTTTTTTCACTGCAGGCAATGAGAGACACATTCTTGTGGTGCCTGTCGTGAGATGCGTGGATCCCATGTGTTTCCTACACCTATGGTGTGAACGAGCCCGAATAATGTTGTCATCTACAGTTAGACATGAGAACTATAGCTGGTGTTTTTCTTATCTTTATCAAGGTTTGCAACAACAAAAAGAACTGTCATTGTGAGGCTGATTGGGCACCTCCATTCTGTGACAAGCCGGGGTATGGAGGCAGTGTGGACAGCGGACCTATGAGGGTGCCAGGTAAGTAACAGCACAGTATATGGAATGTAGTCAGAGCTATAACAATTACATAAGCATTCTTCTACTCAATAACAAGGAATAGACATTAACGTTTTAGCAAAACCCATTAGATTTGGTATAGCTTTCAGCCTGGCATTCTCCATGCCCTGCTAAATAAATTCCTGTAGTTGGTGGTATGCTTATGTTTTGAATGGTCTTGCACCTAAGGTCAGGAGTTCAATTACACATCTCTACTAATATATCACTTTCACCCAGCATGGCCAATAATAGTTGATCATACATGTTTATGTCAATAATTTTTTACAGTATGACTTTATTTGTATCAAATCCTCTACCTGCCATATCATGTGTATGGCTAATAGAAAAACCTTCTTGTCACCTTGATCATTTTTTTTTTTCCAGCCCTTTTGGTACGAAGCTTATAAAGGTCCATTCAGATAAGAGGTTCTTCACTTAGGCATTCATATCCCAGTCAATTTCCAAAACGATATACCCTGCACTACTCCCCAGTCTTAAGATACTTGTATCAGACCGAGGGGATGGTTTGACCACATGACCTTATTCAGGACGGACATTCTCTCTTACATTCTATACATCTCCCAGGCCACGACAATCTTGTTTCAGAAATGCTTCTTCTGTATTCTAAAACCCCCCCTCTGCTAAAATACATATTGGCCCACTAATCCCCCCATGATTGTACTATTACATCCTAGTCAGAGGCTTATCCACGGGAGGTGTGGACCTCTCCCACTGAGAACTTTACTATAAAGTGACACTACTGACTCACATCTTCGACTGGATACACCATAACAAAGATAAACTCTGGGTCACCATAGAACATCACTTATCCCCTATGCCATGGCTCTCCCCTCAGTTATGTCCTGAGACCTCAGCACCACAATGCCATGCCACTGGAAATCTTCACCAACACCAACTAACTCAGAATGGCTTACAACACATGAAAGAACTTTCAGCATCTCCGACTGATACTTCAACTATATCCAAGCACCCCCATAAACCCACCCACTACTTACCCACTACTTATCCACTTTCTCACAGATCACTCATGATCACACAATAAATCCTTCAACATAGATCCAGATTCACCTTGCACTGTAAATATGAATCCTTTTCAAACAAGCCTCTCTTTATGTATGTCTAAAACTCCAATAAACTATTATTATTTAAAAAAATGTAATGTTCAACTTCAAATGCCCATAGCAATATGTATAAATTAATTATAATTAGCATTATGACATCTGTTCACAGATAACAGAAGTTTAGTTGCTGCCATCTTGGTAACAATTACATGCATAGCAGCAGCTGCCTTTACTATCTACCTGAAAAGAAGGACCTTATTCAGATGGCTTTATACAAACAAGAAGACCACCATTGAAAAACTGAGGTAACTAACTGATAGCATAATCATTTGTCAGCAAATTCACTTTCAGGAACGATCAGATCATTGTCCTTTTCAAGGCTGGACAGATTCATATGGAATTCAGTCGGTGAGGGAGCAGGCAGTTCTAAGTCCCTAACACTCACAGGCTGTAGCACTGCATTGTAATAAACCATGAATTACCACACCAGATCAAAGATCGACTCATGTATACATTGTTTTATCATTTAGGTTTGTGCATGTGTTTCCGTGCACTCTTATGAGTGTGTTCCCATATGACGGAGCCCATAAGTGTGTCTGCGATTGTGCACATTCCATTTCAAGGACACAGGGACTGGTCTGTTACAGATCTGCTGACAGTGAAGATGATGGGGGGCCCATTTGTACGGCTGTCATTTGACAGTGATCATGTGACAAAATCGTGTTGTCTCAACATTGCTTTACAGTTTTCGCTCAGACACTTTAAGTAAAAGAGACAGACTGTGTGTGTATTTTAGCTGAAACAAAAAAAAATGTATTTGACCAGAATCACAGTCATGAAACATACCTAATCTTAATTATATTTAAAGCCAATTCCACCAAAAACGAGACCACAGTTGGCTTCCCTGCTGAATCATGTTCTGATTTTCTGTACGCTTGGAGATGTCAGAATGTATGTTTCTTATTCATACATCAAAGGATGGTATACTTGGACCACTGGATTATACTGCCACCTTTTGGAGATTGAATACTGGCTAGGCAAAACTGTAGGATAGCCCTGTATAACCTCCCTTACACGCAGGAAACCTCAGTTTTTGCTTGTGCCGTTAGGATGTGTTTCTCTCTGAGAATCTAATCTTTTTGCCTTTACCATTTTTTGTACATATTTTTTCCTACATTCAATACTCTTAGTTGCTGCACTAGCCACTATGGCGAGGGTTGGCATTTCCAGATTGGCATTTTCGTGCCTGAGCCTGGAGGACCATACTCAGACCCCACCAGAAAGAAAATGCAGGGACGGCTTTGGGTATTGAATCTTACACTGGGCATTTACTTTGGCACATAGTGCAGGATGATGTGTTAGCCACAGGTTACTATACAGGTGCAGAGCCATAGTCCATCTGCCAGTGGAGACCTGTCTCTGAAGACCCGTTAGGGCAGGGCTTGAAAATTCTGCTCGCCAAATGCGAGGGGAAATTCCTTTCTGGCGAGCACAGTAATGCCCTGCACATTTATTGATGGAGCGGGTGGCTTGCAATGCGATCCCCAGGTCCGGGGATCGATTTGCGTTCCAAGCCTCGTTTTGAAGCCGACTTCCGGTTTCCGACTCCCGGCTTCTTCTTCGGAACCGCCGTTACACTGGCAGCGCCGCTGAGGGGACAGGTGAAGGAGAGGTCGGCTCTCCTCCGCTAAGGGAGACATGAGGAGAGGCCCGCTCTCCACCGCCGTGGGGGACACGTGAAGGAGAGACCCGCCAACGGTGCGCATCCCTACACCCGCCAGCTTACGGTAAATGAAATTTTTTTGGTGCTGCGCTCTGGGGCAAAATTATTTCAAAAAGATTTTTTTTAAACCAACAAAACGTTTAAAAAAAACCAACAACGCCATTTTCGTGTTGCTCTTTGGGGCCTAAATATTTCAAAAGGAAAAAAAAAACAAAGCGCAGCACCCCTATGCATAGTCAGCTACAAATTTAATTTAAAATAAAAACATATATTTTCAATAAAATTGGTAGCTGACTATGCATAGGAACCCATGTGCTTTGTTACGAAGGTGGAGGCGGCATAATTTGGATAGTGATTGGATGTGGGGGAGAAAGGTGAGGTCCGAGTCAAGGATGACACCTAGGACCTTGGCATGGGGGGAGGGCTGGATAGTTGTGTTAACAATCTCAACTACTAACTAACTACTAACTAACTACTTATTGCCAAAAACTGCTTAAAGAATTCACTTAACACTGCTTAATTCACTATTGCTTAAACGTATTGCTTTCAGGGAGCGTGGTTGGGGGACGGGCCTGGGGTGGGGTTGGAGGCGGACCTGGGCAAGGTTTGGTGGGGCAACTGGTGGAGAGTAAGGTTTTTGGCTCGTAGGTCTAGACTTGAAATTTTAAGCCCTGCGTTAGGGGATATGCCCACTGGGAGGAGAAAGGCTATCCCGTATGGCTTGTCATACTCCCCCCTGACCCCTATCTGTGGGTACCTGAGGGCTTGACCTTATGTTGTTTGCATAAGAACCTATGGTGACCTGCTCGCAGCTGACTTTTACCTCCTCTTGCTTTGCAGTGTGAGTAGCGTTTGCCTGTATTGTCTCACTTGCATACTGTTTGTGTGGTGGCCTGTTATGACTTAGTCACAAGCGACCAGTACCCCTTGTGAGTACTGTCTGTCTTACATACTCGTTAGATGATGGCCTTAGTTGACCTAGTTGCGAACGGCCTTTAACCCCTCCCACTCTGTGTTTGGTCTGTAAGTAACCCTTGCTGGTACTGTTTTATTTATGTTTACTGTTTGTATGGCAGTCTGAGCAAAAACTGACATTTTCTTCTCCTGCCCTGCAGTTGGTTTGTTGGTACCCTCGCTGGTACTAGTTAACTTGCATACTGTTGTACCATAACCTGCGATGACCTAGTCACAACCTGCCATCATCTGCTCTGCAGATGTGTCATGAGTTTGTTATGATGGTGAGATCCGATTTATATATCTATCCTGTTAATATGTTACATCTTGACCGCAACAGTAGCGGCTTTGCAAGCTCCTCTGGCTCATGATCCTATCACTGTTTTTGCCACATCTATGTTTTTTCCTATAGCATCTGTACAGCTGAGGACTATGAAGAATTGTACCGTCGCTTAGGATGGATGGTTTGGTATGTAGGGAACTTTAGACCTTGCACTTAACTCCTTCACTTTCAGGTACTTTTTTTTTTTTTACACTTTTGTGATGCACTGATATGTTTTTGGGCCAGCCTCAGCTCTCAGAGGACCTTGTGTCCTCATCGTCCCAGCAGTTCTTTGCTGTCTCCATTTTCTGCTGTGGGTGCACAACCTTACCAAATTCCCTTGGACCTGTCAGCTTCTCCTTGAGTCTTACCAAGGCGCCGGCCCCTATTTTTGCTCTGCTTCAACTTTAGGGAATTTCATTAGTGGGATATTAGGGCTACCTTCTTCTGAATGATTGGCCTACTCAGGATCCATCAGCTAAGTTTGTCTGGCTGTGCAGACCCTACAGAAATCTGCAATCCCCTGAAATCAGTGTTGGAACTATTTCATCTCTTGGAATATATGAGCCTAATCTTAGAAAAAGCCCTGGACCAGCTCAAGACTCTTAACTCCCACGTTTGGACTCTCCAATCCAGGAGCCAAATGACCCCCATTTATTTGCTAGGTGGTTTTGGGTCCAAGGGTGTCCTCTTTTTGGAGGCAGTTCCAATTATGCCCTTTCACCTCAGCAGTGTGGAGCAAGTGGGTGCAGTCTCTGGATCATCCCATTCACTTGTGCAGCAGGACCAGGCTTGGAGTGGCAAGTCACAAGTTCAATGGGACTAGGGAAAATCCTTCATCCCAGTGGTTTGGTAGGTGTTCATGACTAGCGTCAGTTTATCTGGCTGGGGAAGGAGTCCTTGGTACCCTCTTGGTACAAAAAGGACCAGGAGGAAACTCGTCCCCTGAGTGCATTTGAATGTTCCAGTGTCTAAGAATACCATCCTGTGAAGTACAACTAAGAAAAAAGGATTTTTATTTTACCTGCAAAATCTTTTTTTTGTTTTACATGGAGTGACATATTTACCATTTCATGCCCAGCAAGAAATTACTTGCATTTCAGAAGATGTCTGTGGCCTTTCAGTAGGTCAGTCATTCTGTCTAATTTGTCTATTAGAGTCCAAAATACCCTTTTTTCTTGGATTGGCCAACACTCCATTGTAGTGCACCTTTGGTGGACCATTCCATTTTTGTATTGAGAAGAGGGAACACTAGTTGGACAATTGGATTATTCTACAATCTTTGAAATTCTGGCAAGAAATGACCATGGATAATGTTAGGGAGTTAACCCTGGCACTGCCTGATTGTTAACAGAGGCTTCCAAAGCCCTTGCAAATAATTATGGCCAACTAAGAACTGATGGCTTTGAACTCCCAGAGGAGAACGAACCTATGCATGGCTTCAGATTGTGTTAGTTGTTTGAAGAGACATCTCTCTAACCTTTGAGTGAAGTTTGGTCAAGTGAGCTGTAGGTTTCTATATATGTAGCCAGTATTACCCAGGCACTCCATTCATTACAATAGTCTCTGGGGCGTTATAAAAGACACATTTCCACAGATAGCAGAAGCTAATTTAACAGGCTAGTGGCTTTCCAAAAAAAAATCAATATTTATTTCCAGTCCTGCAAGAGTATTTGATCATTTTTACTCCTGGTGTTTGCCACGGTGAATAAAAATGAAGAGACCCTTCATACTGTCACTAAATTGAAGCTCTTCTCCATTGTATTCAATTATTTATATTGCAGGTCAGCCAGACCATCAAGAACAGGGAGCTCAAATGAAGCTAATCAAGAATACAGCACAACAGTGAGCAAAGATCTACTGAGCAAGTCTTCACAGAGGCAGGAGGTGTGTGTGTGTGTGTGTGTGACCCCTTGTGTATGTTACCCATGGTGATGGCAATATGTCTCAGTTATACCATACGCAAACCAAAAAAAAGTCTTCCTAATTAAAATAATTGCATGTTACTGATGAGCTGTGTATTGACAGGTCCCCTGAGTGTTTATGTATCTGTCCATTTCTGGGGAAACTGACTTAATTGTCAGACAAAAAAAAAAGATTCACTCCCTCCAAAACTGATCTATCTAATTTGGGTACATGCCAGATGGCTGCAGTCCATAAGAGATATAAGAATCCATTTGGTGAATCAGCCATGATATATCTGTACCTGCTTTTAGTATAAAAGAAATCACAATGTATTTCTAAAGTATATCTAAACCCAAACTGGATTACATTCAATTTGCTAGAGTACCTTGCATCAAACATTTGCCTTGGTTCTTCCCCCCATGAAATACAGTTTTCACTTTTTGTTTCATCAGTTTTGCATCTCAGTGCTGACTGAAAACAACTTTTGCAATGAACATGTTAAAGCTGATATGACATTTTAGTGATCGGGTTTACATCAACTTAACTATTTTACAGCGTTGGTGACATGAATGCTAATCAAAATGGAATGCATGTAAATACTGTAAACAACCTGGACATATTTATCTGTTTTGCCTGCCTATATGAAATGCTTACAAAGTAAGTGCAGCAATGCTGTAAACAGTTCAAATAAACCTAATGTGTTATTTGCAGGACTGGCGGATTCATAGACCAACCCGCTATCATCCAGTAGATATCAGCCATCCAATAGGAATACTTGAACCACCAGAACATAAACTGCCACAGTCTCTATCTCACTCCTTTCAACAAAGTATGCCAGCGCGACCACTGCCAGTAAAGCCCCCAACCAGAGGACTACAGGTAGGCCTCACCTGAGCTTTGTTACACAGACACACACAATTAATGATATTTGTATATATTTGTGGCAATGACACAATATTCTAATGTGGGACATACAGTACATTCTCCATAAAAGTACAGGGTTTGACTGCTGGAAGCTGTGGATAAAGATACGAACACATAAGAATACACAGAAAACAAAAGATTCCGTCCGGAGATTATAACAAACACATACCGTCGCTCGCTCACTTCTCGATCTATCCGTGCAGAGAGCCGTGACTGACACTCATGGCTCCCTGCAGGGACCCTCCCCCTCCCCTGTCCGATCCTCCAGCGCCGACTGGCGGAAACGGACGGGGCAGGGGTCGGGTACAGCTGGCTCTGCCTCTAGATAGGCAGAGCCAGCTGTCACTCACACAGCTGGGTGGATCCAGACAGCATTGGCGGGATCCGTTCCGGCTGCGCCGTCTCAGTATACCGCAAGCTGTAGCTCCCTATATACTGAGCTTTGGGTGACGGGAGGACGCTAGTTTGTGTCCTCCCGTTACCCTTAGGAGAACTATGGGGAAAAGAACTGACACCATAGTTCTCCTTTAATGCACTTTTAAGATTTAACTCCTGAGTTTAGTGTCACTTTAAAAAGTATCAAAACACAAATGTAAACTGGTACAAACCGTAAATGATTTCTTCAGCTCTTGATAATCATCTGAAGCCTAAAGCCTTATTTGTATACAACTCAGCGAAGGATAATAGATTGCAGAGCAGACAAGGAAGCTCAGACTTCAGCATGGAGGAGACAGCACAGACATCATTTTCCTATGCAGGTCAGCATTTGTGTGAATTATAAGAGACTATTCAGGAGTGACTATAAACTGTCCAAGCTCGTCTCCACTGAATACTTCTAAATGGAACACAAAGGGATAGAAATGTATGCATTAAAGAATGAACGCACTGTTTAAGCTGCATTACTCCTTGGCCTGGTGTAGCAGCTACTATGAATTATCATTACTTATTTATAAAGCGTCAGCTGATTCCATTGCATGGCCTGAATATGCTAGGAGTGATGTGTGCGCGGGAGCTCAATGTGCTGAGTGGCCAGTTCTGTGAGTGCCAGCTGAACTTTACAAGATAATCTGTCAATCCACGAAGCTCATTTACAGATGTTAGAAACTGACCTTTCTTGAGAACAGGAAGGACAGCCTGTAAATAAAAAAAAATATGTATTTATTGCAGAGCTTCATAGTGGTTACAGTAGTTGCCATTAGTTAATCTATATGAGTGTATAGGAGTGTAAGTTGCAATATGTGTAAGCCAGTGTATTGCTTCTGTATTTACCAACACCTTCTCTTTTTTTTACATTTTACCAATAGAAAGCCACTTTCTCTTTTGGGGTTACATTACTGAGTGCTGTTCATATCACTGTGCTGTGTATTTATAAAGCACATCCATGCTTCATTAGTCAAGTCACCCTGTTTCAAAGAAAGCTTTGCATCCCAAAGAGGCCAACAGACAGGCTGCTGGAGCCAGAAATTGTAGTCAATATCTGCTTTTGTTGCAACACTACATGGTTTACCTCAATGATCACATGGCCACCATTGCACCTAACTATAGTTGCAGCTGGCTGTGAGTGAGTGATGAAATGTTTGGAAAAGCAATGGAGTGAGGGCCACAGTGGGGGAGCACTGCCCTGGTTCTGCACATTTATCAAAGGCAGACATATTTACAGTCCCGCCTGTATGAAAATCATGACTCTTTGCATAGTGGAGCAATGAATGTAGTCATGATGGAACAGGAAGTGTAATATCTGCAGATTCACCTGGTGAAAATAAGTCTGAATAAAGAATACACTAAAACAGTCACCATACAGGCACCACGGTGGGTGCCGCATAACTGGGAGTTTACTGTATTGGCTTTTACTTGGATGAGTTGGGAAAGGTTAAAGCACATGTAAGTTTGTTTTTTGTTACCTGTGGCCCATCCTGAAGACACAACAGGTGAGAGGAAATCTCTACAAAGTGAGATGAATTCCCCTCTTAGACAGTTGTAACCACAACATATCTACCCTCTTTCTGTTCTAGTAACAATAGTCACCAGAACATATAGAGGGGTAAATCCACCTATTGGGAACAGATAGGGGTTTTAATCCTACCCTAATCTGTCCAAATTTAAGCTCAATATATTGAATGGTTTCTATAGTGTTTTATTTAGTTTAATCAGTTTGCCGATTCTGATTGTACAGTAAATGTATTTTGTCTTAAAGAAGAACTCCAGGAAAACTAAAAATGAACCCTTGCAGTGGGGCAGCCCCCCCCTTGCGCTGCATGGATTAACTGCTCCTTTTTGGTCTAGGGGCTAAACTAAAATATACTCGCCTGATCCTTGGTCTCTCTTGGCTGCTAGAGTCACTGCAGCATCATCTCCCCCGGGGTCTAACGTCTCCACGTCTAATGCAGATCCATTAGATGTGAGGACCCTGAAGGACATTGGTCCATCAGAGCCGAGGGGGAGAGAGAGATGAGTGTTGACTGCTGCAAGACTGAGGATCAGGTGAGAATATCTTTTTTTTATTCCTGTGCTGAAGAGAAAAATGAAAGTTTTAGATTTGCTGGAGTTCTTCTTTAATGCAGAGAAAGTTGAAGGGTTGCACATACAGAATTATCTGGGGTTTGAGGTTTCCTACTGTGTGCAGTATTGTATCCAAATTATATGAAACTGCCTTTACGTATTACACCCATCTCTCCTCACACCTCTGCTGAACTGCATCAATTATTGACTACCTTTATGGATGTTTGTAGATAATGGGTTTGTGGAGAACATATGGTATATCTCTATGATATTGACAATTGAACCTATTACAGAGTGACAGCCAGTCACTATGGTAAGTTATTGTCAGATCTCCCACCCTGGGGCTACCATAGAATACATGTTCTATCTGTGAACAGGCAGAAGTACCAAGAGCTGATATTCTACCTTCACAATGATACTTCCTGTGACCGTGAAAACATCTATCATGTGTTGGTAATCATTCTTTATGGTACATGTCAGAGAACAAAAATACAAAAAGGAAGAGCCATACAAAAGTAACATTCTGCATCCCAAATCACTGAAAAAAAATAGGCTGGAATTTTGTTTCTTACCGTAAAATTGTTTTCTCAGAAGTCTATTGGGGGACACAGCTCTGAAGAATTCTGATGCGTAGGGTTATGCTGCTGCCTCGAGGAAAAACTGCACTAAGCAAAATTAAAAGCCTGCCACTTTAAAGACATAACTCCTCCCACCTGCCAGTTGTAGCAAGCAGTATATAAGGAAATACCTAGTGTCTATTTCTCCTGAAGGTCAGCAGCATAACCCTATGTCCAAGAACTCTTCAGAGCTGTGTCCTTCAATGGACTCCGAGAAAAGGATTTTACGGTAAGAACAAATGACTATTTTCTCTATCATCTGCTGAGGGACACAGATCTAAAGAATTCTGATACGTAGGGACATTCAAAAGCATTTCAAACAGAGACATGGGCACCATGCCAGCTAAAGAACCTGTTCAACAACAAAAGGAGCTGGAAATATACATTTAATTAGCTGCCTAATTAACTTTCCTACCAAAACCAGCAACAGAAGAAGTTGTGGCCTTGCAAATTTGAGTAACAGAAGCTTAATATTGAAATGCCCAAGAAGTACTAACTGTCCTAGTAGAATGAACACAAACAGGAAAAGGGGGAACCTTATCCACAACTCATGGCCTGACCGAATATATAGTAATAACCATGGGAACTCAGCAAGATAAAGCATAATTACTGAGACCGGGAAATGACCTGATTCATGATCACTACAGGATGAAGCATAGGTATTGAGACCAGAAATCTCCTGTTGTCTGAAGACTAGAGAAACTTCCAGGATTTAACTTATCCAGTATGAATCTCTTAGACTAGTCAGCTAGCTAGAGAGACAGGATTTAATAATATCTGATATGAATCAACTAGCAGCTCTTGGTAGTAGAATCTGCAACAAAGAAACAAAATAAACTCAAACAATAAAGCAGAAGAGAAGGACACATCCATTCTCCTGAGGACACTATGAGAAACTGGCAGGAGTGAAGTGGGAGGGGTTATGTCCTTAAAGTGGCAGGCTTTTAAATTTTGTGTTGTCTATTTCCCCTAGAGCAGGGGTAGGCAACCTCTCCAGCTGTGCTGAAACTACAAATACCATAGGGCATTGCAAGCCACGGGCATGACCCCCAGAGGCAGAAGCATGATGGGATTTGTAGTTTCAGCACAGCTGGAGAGCCAAGGTTGCCTACCCCTGTCCTAGATGCAGCAGCATAACCATACCTCTCAGAATTCTTCAGAGCCGTGCCGCCTAATGGAAGACAGAGAAAAAAAACTTAGCCTTGCAGTGGAGCTACCCCTGCACTGCAAGAGTTAACTGCTCATTTGTCTTGGGGACTCAAGCAAAGCTAGTTAACTCGATCCTGGCTCCCGTGGTGGTCGAAGCTCATCTCTCTCCCTCTCTACTCCTGATGTTGGACTGTCCCTCAGTGTCCTCACATCTAATGCTGGTCAATGGACCTATATAAGACATGACTGACTATATCTGCCGTTCTCAGACCTCTGGTGGAAAGGGGGGGAAAGGCTGTGGGGACCGGTCTAATACCCTGGAGGGAGCCGGTGGGACCCAGGATCAGGTAAGTAAAAACAGCTTTAATAGTGTCCCCCTAGACAAAATGAACACTTGCCCCACTGCAAGGGTAAGTTTGTTTTCCTGGAGTTCTTCAATAATCATCATGGAATCATTTTGCTGTCTATTTCCACAGTAGCTATATAGTGTGATGCATTTTTGAAGAATATTTTTGTGTCCCTAATTATGGCCTAAATGTATTGGCATTTGCTAGTGGTGAAATGCCCAGTCAAACTTTGCAGTGCCCAGTGCAAACCTAACATTTGAAATAAATGGCCCTATATATTAAGCTGTATCTCTGCTATAAACCTGCATCACTGGCTGTACAGTTGGGGCTAGTGCAAAAATTA